CTGTTAAATTAAGGGACAAAACCAAGCATATTAAAACAATAGAGACCAAATTGACACATCATGTAAATTACATAGACCATTTGCATAATTTACCTTAGTTGTTTTAATAAAAATGGAACAAACATCTTTTCTGAAAAATTGATTATAGGGTTTGTTAAACTCACTAACTAGTGAAAAATAAGAAGTATAACCATGAATAAGTCATTTTACTCATTTTATTACAAGTTATCAGTATTTGTTGGGTTTCTACACTTGCTATGCAAAACTTTGTTTACTTGCAAGTGAGTGAGAGAAGAAAAGATTAGGGTTACACACTTATAAAACTTACAATAAAATTTGACGGTCCAATTTTGTTTTTTGTTTTTTAAAAAATGTATACAGATGCGGACGGGTGAGTGCGAGTGCAGGTACTAGTGTGGGTAAAAACCGCAACCCACAAAACAAAAAAATCTTAACCCGCATCTAACCCTAATGCTTATGTGAAACCGCCCAAATAGGTGCAGTCGGTTTAGGTTGGACGGTTTTCATGGGTCAAGTAATCCTATGCCCAGCCCTAATCACCATGCTCACTATGATATAGGTATATTACCCTCCCTCAAACTCAAATAGGTTTTAAAATAGAAACCTATTTGAGGTTGAAAATGAGAGAACTGAGAAAGAGCGCGGAAGCATTTAAAAAAAGAAGTGAATTTTGAGTGATGAAGAAGCGAAAGGCTGGGATTAGACGCCAGCGAAGGATGTAGTGGTTTATTGGTTGTTGGAGATTGGATAAGCATAGGTATATCTTAAAAAAAAAAACTCCAACAAGCAGCGAGGGCAAGGTTGCCAACTGGCTGCCCGCCGCGCCGTGAACAAGAAATACAGATTGAAATCTTATAGTTCTAATACCATATTAAGATAATTGTATAAAGAGAGAAAAAATAGAATCCCTGTATATTGAATAATGTTGAATAATAATGTATGTAAATATTACAATAGGTGACCTATATATATGATGTATATGGAGTGTTAATCAAGAAACCATGGAAATAAGGAAACTTATAGAAATATGGAAACCTAACAAATATTGAAAACAATATATTCTAGATATGCTTTAACAAGCTGTAAAATATTTATAACACTAAAATTATCCTTTTTGAGAGGGCATATTTGCACCGGACAGTACGGCCGAGCTACGGTAGCGCAGGTGTAGCAAACCTCTTAGTGCCGAGCTATCTCCTCGATCGGCACGACCCTTCGACCTGTCTTACACGGCCGAGGTAGGTTTGCCGACCAGGCATGGTCTAAGGCCTGGCCGAGCTGTGACTGTTAGGCGTTCGGCGGTAGGCGTGCGTTAGCACGGCACGACCGAGTAGATAACAGTCCGAAAAGAGTCTAGGCCGGGAAGAGGTCGGCGTGCGCCCGACTGGATAGTTTGGAAGCTCGGTCATGTTCTTTGTGGTTGTGATTTTCTCCCAAGGAATAGGCCGATCTTGGTATGCCGGTCAGGTGTACCACTTGAGCCAATGGCGTGAGGGGGAGGATATCTGCTCCAGGCACGCGTTAGTACCGTTTGGCAGTTTTGCATGTACTGGATGGAGGATTTGGCCTTTACACGTGTAAGGTGGTGGGAGGCAAGCACGGCCACCTGTCCAGGGAAAGACAGCAGAGGTAGTGCGCGCACAATCCTGAGGCTGCATAGCCAACCTAGAAAAGGGAGGGGAAGATGAACGTTAGAGGTAAGCAATTAATGCCATCAAAAACACACTCTCTCCCTCTAACGGCCTTCTTCTTCTTCCTCAAGTGATCTGACTTGATCGTCGGAGGGTCTATCCGGCGCACTACCGCCGGGCAGCTCACCGTTCTCTGTGTTGCCATGTTAGATGCCGTCACGTGAAGCTTGGACTCCAAGGAGTACGGAAAGTAGAGGATATTTCGCCCCCCGTACAATTGGCGCCGTCTATGGGAACCTCTTTGATACTCAAACCTTATTTTTCAAGCTTCTTCAACCATCTCCATGGCCAACAACGATGAAACTCCACTGTCCGTCGTTGATGGCGTCACACCAGAGTCTGTCCGACGGAGAGAAGGCCCCCGCATGTTCCAGCCATGGCGGGCCTAGAAACTTCTTCGCGAGACGCGCGAGACAAACGCGGAAGGAGTACTGATCGCTCAAAAAGTCCAGAGGGCCGACGGCAGCGGGGGGAGTCCCGTGCGCAGCACCTGGAGCACAAACTCAAAGACCAAGACGCCCTCATTCGCAGGATGGCGGTGAAGATGGAGATGCTGAAACGTCAGATTAAGGGGAAGGGTGTTGCTGGAGAGGGCAACCTCAGTGAGAGCACCCCGTCCCCCCGTTCTAGCAGTCGCTGCCAGGAGAGGACCCACTCTCTCTCCATCACCAGGAACTATGGGGTTGGAGATTCCAACCGAAGGGAGGGCAGATCCCTCACTCGAGACAGCACATACCGTCCCTTACGCCATTCTCCGACGTCACGATACTCATTCTCCACCCGTTCCAGAGACCTGAGGGATGTATTGGAGGAGAGGGCGCGCCGTCGAGCGGCTCAGAGAGTGCCGGCGTAGCAGAGGTTGAGTGCCCCAGTTCACTGTAGCGAAGAAGTGGCGATGCTAGCGCCCAGAGTGATGGCTCATGCGCCAGTGGACAAAGAGCTAGCGAGACTTACAGCCACGCCGTTATCTCTGAAGATCGAGAGTACACTACTCTCTGCCGGATTTCACCAGCCTAAGTTCACCTTGTACGACGGCAAAACGGATCCGTACATGCACGTAAGTCATTACCGGCAAGTAATGGCTGGCCACCGGTGCAATGACGCCTTGATGTGCCTCATATTCCCAGTAAGCTTGGGAGAACTGGGCCTGAAGTGGTTCGAAAGGCTTCTAGAAGGGAGCATAGAGGGGTGGCAGCAACTAGCGGAAGCCTTCGTCACCAAATTCAAAACCAACACTCGAACGCCGAAGGAGGTCGATCATCTTCTGGGCGTCAAGATGGAGTCAGGGGGATCATTGAAGGCATACAACGTGAAGTACTGGGAAACTTACAACGAAATCCTTGACTGCCCTACCAACCTGGCGATCACTCAATACAAGTGGGGTCTCCCAGTCGGGCATAGGCTGCGGGATTCGCTCACAATGCACCAACCCACAACCATGGAGTCCTTGATGCAGCGGATCAATGAGCACATTCGTGTGGAGGATGATACCACCTCCGTGACCGAGAAGGTTAATCCGGTCGCAGCGGACAGAAGGGTAACAGGGAAAGTTCACTCGATCGGGCAGGAGGATAACCGCCCAAGCGACCGGCCAAGAGATCAACGACGTGGCCCAAACCGCGATGGCAGAAACAAGGGTCGCAGAAACGACCGAGCTGACGCTCCCCGTGATGCAGCGGAGGATGCTAAGAGAAAATTGAAGGCGTGGACTGGAATCACCACGGTCTTTAAAATCCATATCTACCGCATCTTGAGTGAGATCAGAGGCGAGCCTTTTGTCCGCTGGCCAGCCAAGTTGGGGAATGCACAGAGAGGCTTCAACTCAAGGTATCGCTGCACCTTCTATGAGGAACGGGGACACCGCACGGAGGACTGCTTGCCGCTCAAACAACATTTGGAAGAGCTAGTGGCCGCAGGACATCTTGACCAATACATAGATGGGGGTATGAAAGCCGCGCCATTGGGGCAAACCAAGCCAAACGGCCTGGCCGCCCTAGAGGCGGCACCCCAAGGCGTAATCAACGTCATCTATGGCATCATTGAACCAGCAAGGGTCTGCGAGCTCAAAGGGATGATTAAGAAAGCCGAGCACATAAGGGAAGTGCTCTCTATTCGGCCCGCTATGAAGAAAGGGAAGACCGAGAAGAAGGACATTCTTACCCTTTCGAGCAGGGACTTGGAGCGGATCCAGATGCCCCACAATGACGCCCTAGTGGTAACTCTTCGCATCAATGACTTTGAAATCAAGAGGATCTTGATCGACCAGGGGAGTTCGGTCGAAATTATGTACTATGACGTGTTCAAACAAATGAAGTTGGAGGACAAGGACTTGGCCCCTGCGATGTCCCCTTTGGTTGGCTTCAACTCTCAGCCAAAATGGCCGGTAGGGAAGATCATACTGCCGGTCAAAGCGGGTTCAGTCACAAAGCAAGTAGAGTTCTGGGTGCTCAAAGTCCCATCCACCTACAACTTAATTTTAGGCAGGGGCTGGTTGCACGCCATACAAGCAATAGCGTCGACTTACCATTAGGTCTTGCGCTTCGCGACGCCAAACGGACAAATAGAGGAAGTTTGGGTAGACCAGGTGATGGCGAAACAATGATTCGTTGCGGTAAATGACAGCCGAGCAGCTAAAGGATTTGTCCAAATGATTAAGGGACCCGAGAGAAAGGAGGTCCTTGAAGACGTAGGAAGAAAGGTCGAGGAAAAATCTGTCAAGGATTTGGTGGAAGTGCGCATCGACGAGAATGACCCAACTAAGTTCTTCCTCTTGGATCATCTTTGTCTAACGCCGAGCAGATAGATTATGTCAACTTCTTGGTTTCCAACGTGGAGGCTTTTGCGTGGACGCCTTACGATATGCCTGGCGTCGACCCTAACTTCATTTGCCATCAGTTGAATGCCTTCCCAAATGCGCGGCCGGTCATTCAGAGGACTCGCCGCTCGACTCTGCACCATGCCAAGGTAGTGGCAGAGGAGGTCAAAAATCTGTTGGAAGCAAGAGCGATAGAAGAAGTGCAATACCCTCATTGGATATCCAACACGGTGGTAGTCCCGAAAAAGAATGGCAAGTGGCGAGTCTGCGTTGACTACAAGACAGTTAACCGTGCATGCCCAAAGGATAGCTTCCCCCTCCCTCGAATTGACCAGCTGGTGGACTTGACCGTTGGCCATCAGAGGTTTAGCTTCCTAGATGCATATCGGGGCTACCACCAGATAGCCATGTATGAACCGAACCAAGAGATCACGTCGTTCACTACTCCTAGAGTCTTGTATTGTTATAAAGTCATGTCGTTCGGACTGAAGAACGCCAGGGCAACTTTTCAGAGGATGGTGACAAAGATGTTCGCTTCTCTTTTGAGCCGAACAATGGAGGCCTACATCGACAATATGGTGGTAAAGAGTAAGGAGAATTCTCAACACCTCACCGACCTAGCAGAAATGTTTGCTATACTTAAGCGCCACAAACTTCGTTTGAATGCCTCCAAGTGCGCCTTCGGAGTCGGCACCGGGAAGTTTCTGGGGTTTTTGGTCACAAACCGAGGGATTGAAGCCGACCCATCACAAATCAAGGCTATACAAGAGCTGGAGCGCCCAAACTCCACGAAAGACGTGCAACATCTTGTCGGGATGGCAGCCGCGCTGAATAAATTTATCAGCCGGTCTTCAGATCGTTGCAGGCCCTTCTTTAAAACTTTGAAGGCCAAGTTCTTTTGGGATGACGAATGTGACCGTGCACTGGCAGACTTAAAAATATACCTTTCCTCAGCCCTTATCTTAGTCACACCTCGGCCGGGCGAAGAGTTGTATCTCTACTTGGCAATCTCTCAACATGCTGTGAGCACCGCCCTAGTCCGCGCTGAAGGCATCCAGCACTTGCCCATCTTCTATGTAAGCAAGACTTTGCTCCTGGCTGAGACGAGGTATCTTCCGCTAGAAAAACTAGCGCTGGCCCTGATGATGACATCAAGAAAGCTGGCGCACTATTTTCATGCCCATACAATAGTTGTGTTAACCGAGTTCCCACTTAAAGTGCTTTTTGAAAAGACAGACTTCACCGGAAGAATTTTGAAATGGGCCGTGGAATTGGGGCAGTACGATATCAAGTTCCGCCCGCGCACCGCAATCAAGGCTCAAGATCTTGCAGACTTTGTGGTGGAATTTGCCCCTGGAACGCATCTAGTTTGCCCGGTTAATTTGGCTGGTGCCGATTTAGCGCAGCCCATGGTTCTGGCGATAGAGACAAGTCTTGGCTCAAAAGTGGGAGAAGGCAGAAGAGCGATCGAACTAGAGGAGCCGGGTGACTTCTTGGAAGACGTGCTCAATTAAGACAAGGAAAGAGACCAGAAGGAACCGATCAGAGACTTGGAATTGAGAAGCTCCCAGAACGCCTCTGATTGCTGGAAGTTGTTTATTGGCGAGATATGGAAGCTCTTCGTCGATGGGGCATCCAACAGGCATGGGGCCGGGCTGGGCATCGTACTGACTTCACCGGATGGGCTGATTATCGAGCAGGCAATTACGCTCGGCTTCCCAGCATCCAACAATGAAGTGGAGTATGAAGCCCTCCTTGCCGGACTAAGAAGCGCATTGAGAATGAAGGCGTCAGCCCTAATGGTATTCAGCGATTCCAAGTTGGTGGCCAATCAGGTCTTAGGGGAATATGAGGCAAGGGACGAAAGAATGGCCAAGTATCAGGCGCTGGTACGCGTAGAGATCACGAAGTTCGCCGCAATAAGGATGGAACAAATCAACCGCAAGGAAAACAACGTGGCTGATGAATTGGCCGGACTTGCTTCTACTCAAACAGCTTTTCCTAACCCCTTGATGATAGAATTTTTACCTCGGCCAAGCATTGAGGAACTGGAAGTGACCGAGGTACTCTGCACCGACTTGGGTCCTTCCTGGATGGACCTCATCATCGTCTTCCTAAAAGATAGAGTTCTACCGCAAGAAAAGAAGGCGGCCAACAAGATCCGGGCCAAGTCAGAGCGATTTTGGCTCTCCCCATCCGGAGCCTTGTATAAGAAATCTTTTACGGAGCCGTATCTGAAGTGTGTCCACCCAGCCAAGGTAGAAACTTTTCTGTATGAGATCCATGAAGGCATCTGCGGCAGCCATACTGGGGGCAGATCTTTGGCTTACCGAGCAATTTCCCAAGGTTATTGGTGGCCGTGCATGTAGGCAGACGAGCAGAAATACGTTCGCAGATATGAAAAGTGCCAAAAATTTGCTCACCAGATCCACCAGCCAGCAAGAGAATTGCTCCCCCTTACAAGTCCTTGGTCGTTCGCACTCTGGGGATTGGATATAGTGGGGCCACTCCCAGCAGTCCTGGGCAATCGCAAATTTTTCATCGCCGCCACTAACTACTTCACAAAGTGGGGTGAGGCTGAACCACTGGCGACCATAAAGGAAAAGGATGTGAAGAAGTTTGTCTGGCAAAATATTATCACTCGCTTCGGTATACCCAAGGCCCTCATCTCGGATAATGGCACTCAATTCGATGGGAAACTCTTTCGCAGATTTTGCAAAGAGCTGAAGATCGAATTCTACAATTCAACGCCCGCCTATCCTCAGTCAAATGGTCAAGCAGAGTCCTCAAACAAGACCATCTTGGACGGGCTGAAGAAGTGGCTTGAGAAAGCCAAGGGGAAGTGGGCTGAAGAACTCCCTAATGTGCTCTGGGCATACCGCACTACACCAAGGCGGTCGACCGGGGAGACACCATTCGTCTTGGCTTATGGCATGGAAGCCGTTATCCTGCTGTAAATCGGTATGCCAACCATCCGGTCTGAGAGCTTCTAGCCAGATTTGAACGAGGAAGCAGTGGCATTGGAGCTTGACCTAGCCGAGGAAAGAAGGGAACGGGCTCTGATCCACATAGCGGCCTATCAGCAAGAACTCTCCAAGAAATACAACAAGGCTGTGCACCCCAGGCTGTTCAAAATTGGGGACTGGGTCTTAAGAAAGGTGATGGGCAATACGGTGGCCCCTAGCGAAGGAAAGCTCGGCGCAAATTGGGAGGGGCCATACAAGGTGACTGGCCTAGCAAGAAAAGGGGCATACCACCTAGAGGACTTAGACGGTAAAGCTATCCCCAGACCATGGAATGCAGCCAACCTTAAGATTTTCTACTTTTAAAATGTAATTGCTTTTGTTGCTTAGCTTTCTAGACCTTAAGCCTTTTGGCACTTGATGTAAGAGATAGCACTGCTTTTTGTAATGAAAAATAGCCCTATCGTTCTTTTGAATTATATCTTTTTGTACGAATGACATGGCAAAGCTAAGGGGCCACTATGGATGCCAGGGGCAGGGAGACCAACCTGCGCCGGAAGAACTGATTTTCACTCGCCGGTATAGAAACAGACCGCACAAACAGTTGGTGTATTGTCCAGTGAAATAATTGGTGTGTTGTCCAATTTGCATAATGCCCGAGCTGACTTTTGCTCGCCCAATTGGGATGTTGGCGTCATGACCAACTTAAATGAAATATTGGTGTTCTGACCAATTCACAAGCCGAGCTGATTTTGCCTGGCCTAATCAAAATATTGGTGTTTTGCCCAGCCAAAAAGAGCCGAGCTGACTTTGCTCGGCCCAACGAAATGTTGGTGTCTTGTCCAACTTACAAGAGCAAAGCTGACTTTGCTCGGACAAATGAAATGTTGAAGTTTTGCTCGGCCACTTGGACATATTGGTGTTCTGCCAATCTCCGAAGGCCGAGATGAATTTCGCTCGGAGAAAGAGCCATGGTGTCTGGCGTTTTATCAAAATGAAAGGGGCCGCACAACTCGAGCAAGCCGAGCAGTATTTTGCTCGGCCAAAGTGAAATTTTGGCGATATGTCCAACCTACTGTTGGGCCGAGCTGAATTTTCCTCGGTCACTTCGAAATATTAGTGTTTTATCGCACTTACAAGGTCCGAGCTGATTTTAGCTCGGCCAAGTGAAATGCGACGCTCATCCAAAAATTGAAGAAATACTGATTTTAGCTTGGCATATGGCGCGGCTTAGCCGACCTACCAGTTATGATTCGTGACCATTTGAATGAAGAAATTTTCATGTTGCAGCCGAGCAGAAATTGATGATCAACAAGCAACAAGTTCAAATTTTCATTGATAAGGGAAATTGCATTACAAGGTGGGGCCGAGCCCGGTTACATTCAAAAACAAAAAAAACAAAAAAAAGAGGGCAGAAAGGAAGAGGGAGAAAACATCAATCTAGTTCGATGTCAATGGTTTGCACGACAGGATCAACTGTCTGCTCGGTCAAGCCCTCCTCGGCCTCATCGTCAGCGCCTTCCATCGCAACAACCTCCCGCTCGGCCACTTTATCTTCGGCCCGGTCGGACGTCTCAGGGGAAGTTTGATCGGCAGGTTGCGCGGCGGCAGCCTCTTCCTCAGCCTCTTCCTCGGCCGCTTTCTTAGCCTCTTCCTTAGCCTCTTCCTCGGCGACCTTCTTCGCCTCTTCGATGAGCCTCTTTTGTGCGGCGCTGGCGTAGGCTTGCATGTAAGGCGGAATGAAGGCAGCGGGCGGATTTTGGAACATCTCCGCGTCCTAACCAAGGCCAACTTTCTCCACGGCAGCTTTCCAACCGCACTAGAAAAAGATGTCCTTGGTCGCCTGAACCTTCCGTTCGTAAGTTTTCTCGCCCTGCGCATAGCCCCGATCTTCGGCAGTGTCAACCGCCTTATCCTTCTCCTCCTTATGGGCATCGCGGAGTTTGCGCAGCTCGGCGAGGTACTGAGCCTTCATCAACTTCACGGCCCGCTGTTTATCCTCTTCAGCCCGGCCCAACTTCTGGCTTAGCGTATCGCGCTCGGCCTCGGTCGCCTCTTGCGCGGCCTTCAACTTGGCTATTTCGGCCGTTTTGGCCTTGTTTTCAGCAATGGTATCCCGCAGGCTCTGCCGCACTGCGATCATTCGATTGTGTGCTAAATAGTTCTTTTGCGCGGCTTGAAAACAAATGAAAGATTGTAAGCGTTCAGAAAACCGAGCAAAAACCGATCAACAACTTGCAGAAAAAAAGAGTGGAAAACTTACAAAAACGATCGATTTTGCCGCCGAGCGAAGCACCTTCAGGTCGGATAACTCGTCGTGCTTCTTCATGTCGGCGGGAAGGATCAACCCCTTGGTCATGTCGAAACCGAGGGAGTAATCCTTGTCTGCGTACACTGAATTGGCCTCAGAGACAGCCCGGCCTTTGTACTTGATCTCGGGCGCCCTGACCGGGGGGGTCGTTGGGGTTTTGGATGGCCCGCTGAGTAGTTGTTCGGTCTGGTCACCCAACTCGGTGGATACGTGCTCGGTTGAATCTTCGTCGACCAGTTGTTGCCTGGTTTGGTCTTTTCTCGGTCGCTTTTTCGACCGACCTGTTGGATGTTCGCTTGCAAGAGCCAGCACAGCCCCCTCCCTTTACTCGGCTGGAGTGGAGGAAGTCCCCCAGATACCTCTGGTGGGAGTCGCCCAGTTCTCCGGTGATCATTGATTTGATTGCTCGGATTTTTTCCATTTCTTGTTCGGTGGTGAGGGAAACAAGTTTGATCGTTGGGAGATTTGGATCTGGTTCTGGAGAGGGCGCATGAAAAAAGTCAGTCACCCTGCTCTTGCGTGGTGCTGTGTAGTGGTAGGTCGGTTCGAAGCCGAGGAGTTTTAGAGACTCCCTTTACTTGGCCGGATGACGAAGCAGAACTCTGATGGCCTCTTGATTAGCTCGGGAGTAGCCGTCGGCCAAGAGCTTGTAATCTGCAAAAAGGAGGACAAGTGTTAGATCGGCAAAAAGAAAATCAGTGCAAAAAGAAAGTAGTGCAGTTTGCCGAGCTACTCACCAGCACTGCCAAAATCTTTCCTAACATACCAGCCCGGTATGGGCGCCTCGGTGTCCTCATAACGACCGGACACCCACAAGAAGTCATCGTCGTTTGTCTCCTTATCTGGGTTACCCTCTATGAATTTTGCTCGGCCCTTCTTGACCTTCAGGTACCAGCAAAACCCACCCTTATTTTTGCTAAGGCTGTATTGATGTAATATCTAGGCGAGACCGAGATTGAGACCGAGCTTCCTATTCAGCTCGGCCACACCGTTTATTATCTTGTACGTGTTGTTCGAGACTTAGGTCGGACAAAGCCTTGTCTGCCTCAAAAATTCGCAGATCAAGGGTTGGACCGGGAAGCGAAGCCCTCCTTCCACGATGGATATGACCGTGAAGGGGCACCGATCTAGGTCACCCCATGGGGTATCTCCCTTTTTGGCCAGCTCTAAATGAACATCGTCTGGAATGTTGTACTCCCTACGAAACTCGGCTAGTGCACCAGGCGAGCTCACCATGAACCGGTATTTCCCCATCTACCTCGGTTTTACTTATTTGGTGGTTTAATTTGTATCTCGGCAGAAAATTCTGGTGTATTTGCTCGAACTTTGAGCTCCACCAGTGGTAATGCTGTGGGGGCCTGGTCAGTCCTAGTTCTGCATTGTTAAAAAATAAGCCCAAGGGTTAGCGCGGCATAAATTGCACGGCTCCTATTGGTTCTCCTAGCTCGGTCAAAATTCCCGTTATATGCGGCCGGTCTACCCCCTATCTCGGCTCGTCTACCCGGCCGATATGGCCCTCCTAGTTCGGCTATGACTCCCTATATCCAGCTCGGTCGCGGCCTCAACGGGAAGCCGCAAACTGATCTTTGCTTGGCTGAAGTCTTATTTATGGATCCAAGTTACCTATTTAGCTCAGTCCTACCCAGATTCAAGTTGTTCATCCTAGATTCAAAGTTGGTACATTTTACTCGAAGAAACAAGGGGCATGGGAGCCCCATCTGCTTTTCCGATTCCAGTTCCAGTTCTTCCTAGGGTATGCAACTATTGCCCTAAACAAAGTGCATAACGAGCACGAAGAACACAGGCTTGAAAACATGAAGAACGCGATGAACAAGGGGGAAGGAGCTTACCGACGACGGAGTCCAAGGAGGGATCAGTCGATCACGAGCTCGATTGCAGCTCCTGAGGGAGCAAAAACGGATGTAGAGGAGGTAAAGGGGCAATAACAGCAGCAATGGCAGAAGTTGGGAGGTCTTGAGAGCTAGGGTTTGGGGGCTCGTGGTTGGAGATGAACAGTGGGGGGCGTTTGACCCCTCGTTTATGTGTATAAAAGTGGTGGGAAAGCCAATGGGCAGCAGTCGTTTGAATTTCGCGCACGAAAAGACAGCTGTAGGGCTGCACGTCACCAATGGCGTGAGGCCACGTGGCACCACAAGGGCAACTCTGTCAATACGGCTGTACGACCCTTGACAAGACTACTGAAGCAATGACCGACCAAATGGGATAGCTCGGTAACGGCTTCGAAACCAATTGCGCTCGGCTTGGTACTGGCGCAACTCAGGGATTGTTAGCTCGGGCATGGTGGTAACCCCAATCACGATTAGCTCGGATGGGATTAAGGGAATATTGAGAGGACAGATTTGCACCGGACAGTACGGCCGAGCTACGGTAGCGCAGGTGTGGCAAACCTCTCGGTGCCGAGCTATCTCCTCGATCGGCACGGCCCTCCGGCCTGTCTTACACGGCTGTAGACGTCCCCGAACGCCCCGGGAGGGTGAGTCCCGTTCTGTTCATTTGTGGGGTCACTACAGCTCGGACTTGATTTGTGTCACGGTTCTTAATCTTGAACCAAAGAGTCCAAATTTGGCAAATCGTTTTGAGAAACAAATTTTTTGAAAGAAGTGCCAAACATGGACTGCTTTGCCAGATACAGAGTCGCCACCTAAATATTTTTTATGGAGGAATTTAGGAAACCCTGACTCGGTGCTGAAGGCCACATGTCCGTCATCACCGGAGTTTCTCGGCTCGGGAGCTAGGGTACGATTGGGGAAGGTCAGCTATAAGCACCCCCTCTCGCCCGATCCGAAGATCGGCCTCTACTAACCGTGATATCCGTTTTTGAAAACATTATGCGTTCTAATTCCAATTGTTAGCCTAGAATTACTATGTTATGCGCACAGCAAACAAGTATAGACTAGATTGCCTAATTTGGAAAGAAACATTGCATATCCGTTTGTCTTTTAAAAAAAGTACTTTGGATTTTGCTACTCGCAAGTAGGCTAAAATACGGATTTCAACGAGTTTTTCCAACTCAAACAATCCAACCTTCTCCCACAGGCATTCGAACAATTTATAACACATAAGCATCTAGCCA